AAAGAGCTGTATCTGAGTCCTGCAGAAAAAATCATGGTGGCTGTGAAACAATCAGCATTTGGCAAAAAATGTAGAAATAAAAAATTTAAAAAAAGAAAAGTGAACACTATAGCGTGTACTATACAGCCTGTCAAAATCAGGAAGGGTGATTCAAATGTCACAAATATAGGCTGGCTTCAGCTACCCAGTATAATACAAAAATATAATAAATATATAAAAACTGAGGGATACAATGTATTGAAATTATTTAGTCTATTTATGGATCCACTGCAGCCTGTGCAATAGGATTCTGGCCTTTTTCTGAATGCTTACACTAATGGGCACTGACAGCTTTACTATGAATTTCTTTTCACTTGCACAAAACAGCCTCTTTGTGATCATAAAAATCTGTTTTGTTCACCATCTCTAATGTGGGAGTTCAAACTCACAGTATATTCTAAGTTGTTGTTTTGAGTTGCTTTTTTCTCATTTTATATCAAATGAAAGTAAAAGTTTAAAAGGTTTCCAGACAGGCGTGCCAAACAGTGTGCAGGCAAATATTAAAACACATTTTAATTACACTTACTAAATGGGTAATAAAAGGGGAACAGATGTGTGTGGTACATTATAAGCACTGGTGTTTTTGCACAGACTGTTTGGTTTTATGATGAAGGGACAGAGGTGGTCGCATATTTTTCTTGCAGCACCTCGAAGCAACAGGCATCATTAACCAAAAAAGTAGTCCCCAAGCCAATAAAACGTATAAGCTCCATACACATACTCTTTTAAACTTACTGGCATCCCATTCGGTAATCATTCCATTAATGTACAACAAGTTTCATATTTCCTGCTAAAATAGCATCCAATTTATTTATGTATTTGTTTATTTTTATGTTTCTCATGAATGGAGACATATGTTGAGTTTCAGTTGCAAAATTCTCTGTTCTGCCACAGCGAAAGATTCCCCGACCCGCACCACAGATACAAGGACACTGCAGCTCTATAAGCAGCCCGTGCTTAAGCTAGCTTCTGCTCTATTGATCTGAGCTGAAACCACTGCTTCACAGAGCTAAATCTAAAACTGAGAACGAAAAAAAGCATAACACAAAAGAAGAAAAGGTGCCTGTGGGGGATGAATTTTAATATTCACAAAATTACGACCGAGAGGGGAAGAGAGGGAGAAAGATGCGTGTATGTTAAAGCAGCAGAATGGAAAGGACATTTGAATAGCTTGCACTGTATGACGAATTAAAGGATTCTGTCAGTGCAGATGAAAGGCGGCCCGGTGGATGGTGTACAGCTATAACAATAATTTACACGTGGCAAACATTTCTCGTGATGTTCTTCAGACACTGACAGCACACGGCGTTTGAAAAGTGAGATAAGGACATGCAGTTGACATGCAGTGTGCTGCTCTAAGAAGCTTTCTTTGACACTTAAGCTGCACACGTTTCTTTTGCTTACGTGCTGTCTGTGGAGATAGCAGCCCCGCTGAACCAAACGCGAACTAGCTTAGTGTTAGATACATACTTGTCAGCTGTGAGTGTCAAAGGAGTCTCTTTAAGTCACAGTTGTAGATAAAGTGTTAAAATATCTGCTTTGGATTTACAGCACTTAGTTCTTAAGTACATCAATCCTTATATCACTTTTTAGACATCATGTCATTAGGTATGTATGCTTAATGCATACACGTTTTTATTTCCAGCCTTTACACAGTCTCTTGAAATGTGCACAGTATCTTTATTACATACCCTTCCACAGTAACCCCATATGGAGCCAGCAACAATGGAAGAGATCAGATGAGCAGTTACACTTTTGGCTCTCTGCGGCCATACAGTGGTTCACAGAAGACCTGAACCCTCTTTAATTTATTAAACAAGCCCAACTCGCAAGGCCAGGCGACAAGGAGGGTGTTATAAATATTAAAAGAAGAGTTTGCTCTGCCACACTCTCATATTAAATCACACAGAGAAGAATGTATCTGCCCTTATTAAAAGATAATGTGTTCTGGAGCCATAAAAATGTATAACCCACAACTCCTCTTCCCCCTTCTTTCCTCTTTTGTCTTGGTCCAAGTGAAATTTCAGCCTTTTTGTGTGCATCAATCTCTATTTTGTCCATTTTTACTTTGTCTCTTTGTACAGCCTTGTTGTATTTTTTTTTTCTCCGTCGTTGAGTAACAGCGGACTAGACCAGAATACATAAGAGGAGAATAGATGATTTTTTTTCTTTTTTAACTCACTCACACAAAAGGCATCTACACATTGTAAATGTTGCAAGCTTTTGACGCTGCATGAATATCAAATTAATGGAGTGCTGGAAAATTTGGTCTTGAATGTCACACAGTCTTCCCTTTATCTTAAAAGGGGCTTGAAAAGTTGTGAAATTTTGAACATTAATAAAACAACCAAACAACTACAGTATGCAGATAAAATCAATGGCACCCTTAGCCCAGAATGAAGTCAGACTCCCTCTGCATTGTACCCTCAGCCCATTTGAGGTCCCAACTTTCAAACTATTGGCCCCTTACTGTGTCTGTAGGGAGAGTAGAACATTTTCACACATGTTCTGTACTTCTCTAAACATTACACATCAGGACCTCATGTGAGAATCCAGAATCAGCTGGATCTGACGTTAACCACCCACCTCCCTAGCACAAAGTCCGCGAAAGTCTGATTGAGAAAAAGAGCCGGTAATTACCCAGGTAATTCAGAGCAAGTGAGAATTACGTGTCCTGCAGCCTGCAGGCTCTACCCATCAAAATGAGGATTTCCTCCAGTGAGGATCTTCTGTCGAGAATCTCCTGCAGTATTCTTTTTTTTTTCTTTTTTCTTTTTCTCTTTTTTAAAGAAGGACAACTTCAGACAAGGCCTCAGCTTGATTATCTCGACAGTGTATGGAATTCATGTGTAAGAACGGCTGAATAGGGTGACCACTCGCGGCACATTGTAAAATCTTTGAGAAATCCTCTGTATGCGTGGTGCAGTGAAAAACTCTTGCTTAGCAGAGTGGATTAGAGGCAAGAGGAGAGGAAGATAATGTTGGGCTCATGGTGGTCAGATTGATCCAGCAAAAGCAGGACCTTCTTATTTTTGTCAAAGCCTATCCACCAATGCAACATAACCAGCTACAGTTTGGTGAGAGACTAAGCTGTTTTTTTGTTGTTTATAATGTCTAGGATCTGGCTAGTATGCTTCTTTCTAATGCCACATCAACACACACACTGATTTTGATTTGTTTTATTTAAACCTCTTTTGTTCAGCCGCAGACGACGACTCGAATAATATCACTTGAACTCTGAGCAGCTCTATATGTAGCTAAAAAGGCATTCTGCAAGTTTTTTTTCACATATGCAATAATACTCCCTAAGCTATCGCCAATAAATCAATAAAAATGGAAGTGTTGGCATGGCCTTGGAGCTATGAGGGGGCAGCAGCACGATGTATGACTCGTGTTATGAAGATTGCATTAATGTTTCAAATGTTTGAACGTAGTCAGTAAGAACCAAATGGGTTATTCTTCTATTTCTGAAGCCACTGAAAGCGCTTTTTTTTTTAGGATTTGAAATTTGCATTGTAATCTATACAACAATCAGACATCCAGTTGGCTTGTTTGTGGCTGTATAATAGCCAAACCAGAGCGGAAGCGGTCAGACGGTGATAGTGTATGATGTGTGTTTAAAAAAAAGAAGAAGAAAAAATACTCACAGTCCTGACAGGTGGAGGTGAGGAGACACAACCATGTGTGTAACTTAATGCCCTAGTCCTCGCCCTGCTGGGTCCTGCCAGGGGAACATTCCTCTACTCTTTGCTCCACTGACCAAGCAGAACTGCGGCGCAGTGAAACCACAAACGTCTGTGCATATGCGTGTGTGTGTGTGTCAATTTGAGTGCGTGTGTCCACTGGGAGGCAGTGAAGTCTGACAGCCTGGTCACTCGGACCATGGAGACTTATGGAGCGAGAGCAAGCCAGCTGTTCAATTTGGCCACATGGGCAGACAGAGAAAGAAAAGGAGAATACTGAAGAGAAACAGTGTCAATATACGACGTGTGTTGTATGGCTAAACCATCCTCCTATCACTGCCTGCCCTGCTCTGACATTGCTGTATTTTAGCTATCACGAGCCCACACACTGCACACAGACTGGGGCAGGGTTGCATGTGGCATTCCTCGGAGAGGATAATGAGATAAGTACTAATTTCTCAGGTGTCATAGACTGATATGAATAATACAGGCCATTCCGTTACCTATCTTCCCCACTGCTGTCACTGTCACCTTCTTTTTTTTAGATCCACCTACAACATGTCCGTATGCTGTCAGCGCATCGGTGTCGTGTCTTACCTTGAATAACCTGAAAACCAGACTTTGTGAAAAGAGGAAGTCAGTGCGAATAAAGGAAATAAGCTTTTGTTAGAAGAAAGGGAAACCTTTGATGAGTTTTAGCATGAGGTGTGGACAGGCAGATTCCTTTCTCTTTCATGACTATCATCTCTACTGCTTATCCAGCAGCTGGAGACCTGTATTGACTCCTTATTCATTTTCCCAACAACAATTTCTGGCTAAGAATCAGAAAGAGATTGAAAGTGATGATTTATTTACTGTGTACTGCTCTTCCACTACTGCCCTGGTTTGCATGTTGGGGACTCTTACGGCACTGTGAGGGTGGTCCTGAATTATTCACTTCTTTTCTCCAAGTCCCTCTTTCATTCTCTTTTTCCTTCATTTTGCAGGGCGAATGTGTGCCTGCTTGTCTCTTTGTGTAAATCTGGTGTCCATCTCTCTTCCCCTCTCTCTTTATTTTATTATTCTCAGACAGCTACAAAGCTCTGCTCTGACTGCATGATGTGAACCAAATGATAGCAGCTTAGAACAATCGTTAAAGCAGGAACGAGCTGGAAATAATCATCTCCTTCCTCTTTGCTCTGTTGTGTACTGTCTGCTGTTCTCTTCTCTTACTCCCTAACCTCACCAATTGGCACTTTCATCAGCTCTCTTTGTCTCTCTCTCGGCGTCTCTCCTCAGATCCCAATGCTCTTGGGCAGCACGGCACTGACCATGCCTTGATCGGAGGAGTGGTGGCTGTAGTGGTCTTTGTCACCTTGTGTCTAATCATCGTTCTGGGAAGATACCTGGCCAGGCATAAAGGTAAAATCCACAGTGGACCAGACCTACGGCTTTCAAGGCTCATGGAGCTAGTGGAGCATGTCCTTCTTGTCCCATTAGAATACAGTCCTTTCCCAATTCCCAAGTTACACCTTCAAGAGTAAAACAAAAGTGGGAAAGCTTACACCATCCACACATCAGAAATGTTAATGAATATGTGCCTTTGATATGCAGCACAAAGTAATAGCACATGTTGTTATTGTAATTCACTCTCTATCCATGTATTTATCAATAATGGGAATGGAGTTTTTTAATTGCGCAGAGGTCCGTAATATTATTTTAATTTAGTTGTGATGATGATGGGAGAAAATAAATATTCATAAATCCACTTTGGCACCACAGGGAAAAAAAGCATTTTATTCCCAGACAGTATTAGACAAACAGTAATAATGTGAGGGAAGAAATTCGTTTACGCAATTAAATGTGCTTCCTGTATGTGTAAATGTAAATCACTTCTCAAACAGAAAGTGATCGATTGATTCTCAAACTTGTTACAGTTTAGCTCCAAGTTCGCAAAGAAGAGTGGAAATAAAGTGAATTCCAAGTTGCTGCTCGGTTTTCGTCACTAATCCCACAACATTAACTTCTAAGTTTAAGCTAAGAGCTCAATTTGGACTTGCAGCTGTGAGTTCTGATGGTCGTCACACGCAACGTAGGAGGTGTTGATGCTATTCTGCTGTATCGATGCAGGGTCTCGCAAATTTAACTCTGCTTTATTTAAATACTCCACTACACTATCCCAGCTCCTCATTGTTTTAGATATGAATAATGTAACACTACTGATGTTGTCTTCAGATGTGGGGGTTTTTTTCGCCTCAGGCAGCCAACACCATGCAGGGCTGCTTGGTATTTGTTTTCCTCAATAGAAGTTTGTTTTTTCGTTGCCACAGGAACATACTTGACAAACGAGGCCAAAGGAGCGGATGATGCCCCCGATGCCGACACAGCCATCATCAACGCTGAGGGAAACCACGCGCACGCGGAAGAAAAGAAAGAATACTTCATTTAGACTGCAGGGGGAGCTGTGCAGCTCTTGCCTTCTCATTTCCTTCTTTTGATCTCTGTACTTCTTATTCTCTCTTTCCGTCTCCCACTTTTCTTGTTCTCCTCCGGCCACTGGCCCCCATCATGTCAACAAGGAACCCACAGGCAGTCCACAAACAGACAAGTTCCCAGTGTGTTTTCCTGTTATTTCCTTCTGTTGAAACGATCTCTGTCATTTACATCTTGTCCTTTATTTTTTCATTGGTTTGGGGGTTTTCTTTGTTTGTTGTTTTTTGCTTTTGGCAGATGTTTTTCACTGGCAGCTTGCTGTTGCTGCTGAAGTTGCCCCTTTGTCACTTCCTCATCTTCAACATGAATACCTAGAAATCTGTAAATCTACCATGACTGCTCCTTAGCCCTCTCGTTAGTCTTTGCTCCTCTTCCCCACCAAGCAGACACCCAAACACATATTCCTGTTCACACACATCCACGAACACATATCATCTCTCACATCAACACGGTGCCTAAAAATACAGACGCCATTGAACTTCTGTCAATGCCTTCATGTATCGTCTGTCAGTAGCAATGTAAATGCTTTGTAGATGGTTACCTTAGCCATCATTCCATTGCTTAGCTCACAGCTTTTTATTACGCATCGAATCTTTTTTTTCTGTTTTCTTTTTCTTTTTGAATGACAATTTGTGCTATTTACGCCTTATACATGTCTGTCACACTAAATATGGTACTTTTAGGTGATCCACTTTTCCCTATTCCATCTCCCTCTAAATAGAGTTGTAATTAAACCATTGACCCTTGTAAGATACGAAGAAGGATTTGTGTAACACTGTAGCAAGGTTTATCAGATACAGTAAGTGTACAATATGATTTGCATTATTAGGGTAGGAGTAATAAAGGGTAGTGTGGTATTGTTTAGAGCAGAGAAAAACACACCAAAAATATATGAAAGATGCCAGGTCAAGCATTCCTTTTCAGCAAGCATAATCAAGTATATAAAACCACTTGCTAAATGTGCTGCCCAGGTACTTTTACCTGTATAGTCCTGCACCGTCCAGGCAGCGGTTTAGCAAAACACCATCACCTTCAGTGTCATCTGGACAGCTTACGGTAGTTTGTGTTTTCCATAAAGGGTTCAGGTGTGCAGAAAGAGTCACTCTCCTCTCTCTGTATAGGCTGTATAAATTGTATTCAAATAACTTTAGCTTTTCACTTTGAATAATTTGGTTATCGTTTGTCACAGTGGAATTATTTTAAGGCTTGAAGAACCCGTGAAATGTAAACTCAACCATAAGGTGTTAAAACAAGACCAGACCAATAACATCTGTTTGATTACTGTCATTGTTTTTGATTCTGTCACCTTCAAATTTATTTTTAAATAGTTTTTAATAGTTTAGTGAAGCTGCCCTCATCAGCTTGTCATGCTTTTTATGCCTATTTTCCCAGTCTGTCTCCATTAACTCAACTTTCATTTCCATTTCACGGGGTCTTCAAGAAAAAAAAAAGCAAATAGAAAAAGAAACAAATGGTGTGAGTGCTGGGTCAGGGATCTGCAGGGGCCTCTTTTCCAAAACTTAAAAAAAACTGAAAACAAATAGAAAAGCACAAAATTGTCTGAATGAGTTACTGTGTTCATTTGCCAACAACTAGATCGCCTTGTGAACGGTTCTTTCATTCAAATGGGTAACGAGAAGATGACAAGGCTGTCTTTGATTCAATTCTGAAGAAAAAAAAAGTGCAGTGCATCTTTTTGAAAATGTAAGCTAAATCATGTTTTTATATTTAAAAAGAAAATGTTTCTAATATTTTTTTGGTTTTAATGGTTAAGCTCCCTGCTGTATATTGTGTCTGCTACAATGTGGTTGGTTGTGAAAATTGCTGTTAAATTCTGGATTCCTGTATTTGCTCAAATATGTATATTAGCCACCTTATCTAATTACTTTTTTTTCCATTACATTATCCTCATTAGAGAAATTTTAAAACAAATGTATTTTTGTTTTGGCACAAGGCATGTAAATAATGTGTGAGAACTAAATTTTGGTAATACACATTAGCATGTTTTTGTTTGGTTCTTTTTCATGTTTAATTTATTTGAAATTGAAATTTATTTAAGAGAGAACCACAATGAAGATGGTATATTTGTACCTTGATTTTGGGAAAACGGTGGCTTTGTGTGTTTGTGGCCTGACCCTAGTTGCTCCAAATCTGAAGAAGTTGTTGTTCAGGACATTTGGCAAATCAAACACGCAAAACTCCGGAATAAGCTGCTTTTCCATGGAAATTGAGGTAATAGAATTTGGAGCTGAAATCAAAAGAAACAATACCTCCATGCCGGTTGCAAGAAAGTTTCCACATATTAAGACAGCCATGACGCGTCATAGTCAGCAACCTTTCATCTTTCATGAGTTTGGAGAAGTTTGGCTTCGAAGGAATGATCCTAAATGCTCAAAAGCAAGGCACTAGTCTGCTACCAGGGAGCAAATTATAATCAAGGGCAATAATATTTTGGGCCAATTGTCTCCATTTTGGTGGTCTAATTTACAACATTATGCAAATAGGGTCAGCAAAAATCTTTTGTCTGTATTTTGTTACTCGAGCACTTCTCGAGTGAACCACAAGTTGGGAATAATTAAGTCAATCTACTCAGTTTTACCTTTCATCATCGATGTAGGATTTAGGGGGTTTTGACATTTTAATACATTTTTAAAAGCAATTATTTGTTTGTTTTGAAAATAAAGAAGCTTTGCCACAGTTTCCATATCTCACACTTTTAGTGCACTGAGCATATCACTATATACAGGTTCAACTTCAGCGTCACCACAAATGCTCTACACAAAGTGTTCTAGTCTAACATGTTCTAGCAAACCTTGGGTTTTACATGTGTAGATACATTTCTTACAATGATTTAACATCTTTATCTCTCTTTCTTTTTTTTTGGTTTTGTATCTCGTTCTATTCATTGTGTCTTAAATCACTGATGGTGTCGATCACACTTGGTGTTGCTTTACAACTCCAACTTTGAAACAGGAAAGTAGTTGAATGACTTTGTTGATTCTGAAGTCAGAGAAACAAGTTAGGCGGTTTCATATCAAACACACTGAGAATTAACCGGGTCTGCAGTGATGAGTTGATGCTGGCATTAGTAATTAAACAGTTGCCATTTACTCAAGTATGCACTCTGACCAATGTGGTGGATATTTCTTAGTAATTAGTAAAATCTGTGCTTTGTTTTGAGGTTTGTTTTTTCTTTCTGAAACTCACATGTAAATGTTTGTTTTGACATAATAGTAATGAGCTAATTTGTTGCAGATGGATTTTTATAATCATTAGACCAAACCTGAATCTTGTTTAATTTGTTATTTTAGCAGCCTGGCACATACGACCATGCACTACGACAGGATCAACTGTAGCTCTGTTATATCTTGGCTATCTTTGTTTTATTTCTGTATTGTTGTCGGCTGAAAATAAGCTTTAAACGCGTTGCCTCCTTGATTTTCAACGTTTATCAGTTGGGTTAATATTCGCTAGATCACAAGCCTTTAATTTCATCCTGGCAGCAAGACGGTAAAGGCACTAACAGAGCCGCAGTGCCATTTTCATTGGGCACAAGTCCATTTTGTGGGATTGTAAGTCTCTAATTTCCTGGCTCCAAACAAACCCGCTTTCTTCAACTGAAGGTGCGAGTCAGGGAGCTGCGGTTGTGCATTTATGCAGATTTAACAGTGCAATACTGGCAGTAATTTCGACATGAAATTGCACCCAGTTTTGTGAACAATTTCCAGGTTGGCGGAGACACAAACAAGCCTGTGCAAAATCACATTAAAAAAAGTTTCATGTATAGGCTACTGTTTTGCCTAGGATTTGTCAGGTTGAAATGCACAAAACCCACACCTTTTATGGGATGTAAGCTGCTTGCAGTGGGTTAAATTGGAAGATTGTTTATAGTTTCACAGTTCCTCGTGGGTTTGTGAGACCATTCGCTTTGAGTTGATAAAACTTCTATCTGTAATCATCTCGTGTGTTCTGTTCTGAATGCAAAAGACGGTAACTGTATGATCTCAAATTACTGTTACTGTTTACAATGTGGGCTGATACAGTATATTGTTGCCTAAAAAATTACCAGATTACAGAGTATCTTATAAAGTCACATTAAAACACATATTTGAAAATCTTTATATTAGTGCCTTGTGACTCTGCACCTGAAGTTTGCCACTGAACCACCCTCCTGGGCTCATTTAAAGAGGAATCAGACAAGTTGATGCGATGTGTGATTAATAAAGCTTTACAAACCTGCTAAAAAAAAGACACTCGTTTCATCGTACCACGCTGACCTCGAAGCAAATCGGGTCACCAAACATCGCAGGCAGTAATGACACACACATATTTTTTTAACTTCCAGGAAATTAGAGGCCCACGTTAGTATTCAAAATATTAAAATCTGCTTATAAGCAGAAGTGAGCGTAATGGACACTTTGGGTTATAGTCTGTCAGAAATTCTCCTTTTTTTAATCTTATGGTTTATATTTTTTTAATACATGAGTTTAATGGCAAATGTGTTCTCTACAGTAGTGCTTGTAACATGACATGGCTTGTTCCTGTCCCATCTCCCTTCCTCTGGCTCTTCAGATGTCTTTGCTGTACAGTATGGCTTCAGTGCACTTCTCTATCACTCCGCAATAGTGACACAAGAATCAATCAGCCCAATTTCTTTACTGTCACACCGATAACAACATGTGACACAATCGCATGTAGTGATGTTTCTTTTTTTATTATTATTATATCTGTTTCTTTTGTTTTGCATCTCAGGAATATATTTCATTTAGATTTTGTTCGTTTGTTTGTTTGTTTCCTGTCTTAAAATGGGGACTTGTGAGCACTTTTCACTCTGCTAGTCCCTGTGTGCTGACACCATGTATTTTTTGAGTTTTAAGATTATCACAATGATAATAAAAAATGATTCAGTGACTCTTCAATAATTCTGTCACCTTGCTGTCATTGGAATATTAGACTAAGGAAACTTTTTTTCTTTTCTTTTTTAATTTTTTGATCACTGACTTGAAATACTGAGATTTAGAAATATGCTGCAAATTACTGCGTTTCAACAATGATGGAAGGTGTCTTTAACAGAATCTAATTTTAGCTTATGTAAGCGGTTCAGTGCTTTTTGTCCTTTATCATGTTTCCCTTTGTAGCAACACACATCTTTATGTATATCAGTCTTTAGGTGGCAGGTGCTGCAAGGCACTGTCTCTCACTAAATACAAAATATCCACAGTGAGGCTCAGTAAAGATCAGGATTAGAGCTAGACAAATGTTAGTTCAGCCTCTGATGTACCTTGGTGTAATAGGGGGTTTGATATCAAGCTGTACTCCGAAAGCTTGATTTGATATATAGCACCGTAACGGAGGTGTTTCTCTCCCATTGTCTGTGGGATTTATTATATTTAATTTAGAGGTTCGTATGTATGAAATGAAATTGTTGAATAAATAGTTGCCAAAACATCTGTACAAGCCTGATTCCATTTTTTCAGTCATCATTTTGCTTACCTCAGTATTTCTCAACTGAGCGATAATGATATACAATAAATACGCTGGAAACATCTGAATTTGTCCTCATGAGGATCAGTGCACAAGCGCACCCACACAAACACATGCATATACCCATACTTGCAAAAAGACAAGAAAACGCATGCACAGATACGTGTTCATGAATTTTTATTAACAAGAATAATTCGTGTTGTGTTTTTGCGCCCTATCTGAGCTCTGTGGTTGTGATGGTACTATGATACCATCCACATTATAATGTTTTCAATATTAATAAATCCCCAGTTTGAAAAAGGTCGGTACATTAGGTAAACTGTAAATAAATACAGAATGCGATGATTTGCAGATCTCATAAATCCATAATTTACTCACAACATAGAACACAGAAAAAACATAAAAAATTAAACTGTGACATTTTACTAATAGTAACACACTATGAATTTAACGGCAGGAAAACATCTAAAAAAAAGGTTGTGGTGGAAAAGTAAAGGGGGGGGCTAAAGTGGTGGAGAAACATTTTTCATCTGATTAGGTTTATTGGCATCCGGTCAGTAATATGATTGGGCATAAAATTGTAAATTATAATTGTAAAATTGCATTGATTTTGAATCTTCTACAAATTGTGACAACAAAAGATTCAGAGAATCTGAAGAAATTTCTGTGAATAAGGAATAATGGCAAAAATCAATATTGGATTGCTGTGATCTTCACTCCATAGAGTGGCACTTTGTTCAAAACGGGCATGGAAATCACTGCTTTACCAAAAAACAAACAAAAAAAAAACCATTTGGCACATCATAAAAGCAAAAATAGCTCATAGAAGACCCAGGGCTGCTGAGCAGCTGTAGTCCTCAAACAGATCCAAAAGTTCAGAAGCTCCACTCTTATGTTCCCAGATGTTTAAAATGTCAATGTTGCTGCATTAAATTCAAAATTACATTACTTTTTTCTTAAAATTGCAAATTTTTCTCATTTTAAACATTTGGTACGTTTTTGTGTTCATCCTGTTTCTTTTTACAATTCCACTTTTGTTGGATTTGAGGTTGTAATACTCCTTCAAAAGTGTCGCTATCTGAGATATGCATGAGGAACTTTGAAATTAGTGTCAGTAAATCAGAAGAGAGCAGTGCATGGAAAAGTCGTTGAAAAGAATGAGGGAAACCTGGTGATTTATTTCAAGTCTATGTTGCTGGGGAGAAATCACTCTAGCTTGAAAGACACTGAGGGAGATGAAATACAGAGGAGATAATTCTTAAAGTTTCTAATCATTATTGAACTGCTGGTCATACCATCCATCTATTTTTCTTGACTGATGAGCCAACTAAGTCGGCCTGGACCATGCCCCAGTCCGGAAAGGCAGGCTACACCCTGGTTTCCAGTCCATGTGGGCTGCTATATAAAATAATAATAAGGTGGAAAATATGTAAGATAAACTTGCGCCAGGAAAAGTCCATATGAAAAAGAGGGGTGTTTACTTAACGACTCAGTGTATTTCACCATAGATAAGGCTAAGAAAAGCTCTTTTGTGGTGATTCTACTGGTAAAATTGTAAAAGCTGACAAAGTATTAAGAGAAATAAGAAAAATAGAGACTCCATGTATCGTTACACCCTTCACTGAGGCGCATCTCTACTAGCGTCTTAGTTACTCTAATGAAAGTTTTAGAAACGGTGCCCAAAAGAGAGAAAAACATTCACAAAGAGCAGAGTGCTTTAATAAGTAAGCCATAATTTTCTTCAGATCCTTTGAATTAGTCAAACCCAAATCCAGACATTTGAGCAGGCAGAGTATTTTATTGTAGTAATGAGATCGGCACGTACATTATCCTCTTTCAATACTTGTGAAAAGCTTAAGGTTTGCTTTCTAACTGCATCAGGAGAGTGAGAAATGGGCATAAATGAAGGGAAAGATGGAGCACATAAAGAGTAAGAGTAAGACTATGAAAAGGGAAAGACTGGGAGGAGGTGTGGATGCAATGGAGCCTGAAAGACAGGAGGGAGAGGTATCCACCCCTTTCAGTGAGTCAGGAGATGATGACTGAGGGGGGAATTAAGTAATGGCAATAAGATGTCACGTTAGACTGAAGAAAGCAGCTGCAATCAGCCCATCTGTCAGGAATAAATACAGCTTGGAGTGGGTTGCATTTGTGCCACCGAGGTATGATTCTTCTCCTGATGGAAAGTGAGGGGTCAGTGAATGACTCAATTACCACTCAATTTGTCAGAGGAGTCTTGTGAACCAGCACACTGAGAATGAGGAAGACCTAACAGGACCAGCAAAACTGCATTTTCTTGCAAAACGTTACTGAGCGGACATGTTTTTCATACTTGGCCTGCATTTGTATATCGCTTTACTAGTCCCTAAGGACCCCAAAGCGCTTTACTCATCCAGTCACCCACCTATTCACGTACACATTCACACACTGGTGATGGCAAGCTACATTGTAGCCACAGCCACCCTGGGGCGCACTGACATAGGCGAGGCTACCGGACACTGCCGCTGCCGGACACTGGTGCCACCGGACCCTCTGACCACCACCAGTTGGCAACGGGTGAAGTGTCTTGCCCAAGGACACAACGACCAAGACAAGGCAACCTTCCGATTACAAGGCGAACTCCCAACTCTTGAGCCACGACCGATACTTCCTTACTGTCAAGCAGGCTTTGTAGCCAAAGGGGTTGTATCCCATGCGAGAAATATGTCTTATTCTTCTTCTTTCAGCTGATCCCTTTAGGAGTCTCCACAGCAGATCATCTGCTACCCCATCTCTAGCATCCTACTCGTTTACACCTGAGTTGATCATCTCTGTGGTCTTTCTCTTGTCCTCCTGTCTACAGCTCCATATTCATATCCTTTGTCCAATATATCCGCTACCCCTCCTCTGCACATGTCCAGATCATCTCACCCTTGCCTCTCTAACTTTGCCCCCAAACCATTCAACTTGAGCTCTCTCTCTGACATACTCATTTCTAATCCTGTCCCTCCTGGTCACTCCCAACGAAAATGTTAGCAACTTCAATTCTGCCACTTCCAGCTCAACCTCCTGCTTTTTTGTCTGTATCACTGTCACCAAACCACACATCACAGCAGGTCTAACTATATATCAGGTCTAACTATATATACCTATATACCTTAGCTTTGTCAAATTTGCTGAAAGATTTAAATCTGTAATATTATTGCTTTGATAGGTGTTATGTGCAGAAGTACCAAACTGCTGGATCGCATGCAAATGTCTATATGAAGGATATTAAGCTAGATCTAGCCATCCATTTTTTTTGTGAGCTTCAATCAAAAAGCCTTGATTTTACCATTTTATCTGTAGCCATCTTTATTTTTTTGCAGCCAGTTACCATATTTTAATCAAAGGATAATTTTTTTCAGCCCAACAAACCACATGGCTCCATCTTCCTGTGCTTCCAGCATCCACAGGAAGTCTGTACTGAAGGGGTTCAGCGCTTCGTGGCTTTAAGCATGATGGTTAGTTCCCTGCACCTTCAGGTTACTCACCAAGCCACAGTTTACAGTAGTGAGGAAGTTCAGTGTTAACTTGGGCACTGAAAATGAAAACTGGAGGGGTATGACTGGGAGGAATGGCCACCCCAAGTGTTGTTCTGTTTCTGTGGGACTCAGGAGGCAGCTGACAGATACTGGCAGACCAGGCAGAGTGTAGCTGTGGTGGTGAAGCATGAGGATGGAGTGATGCCTGGAGTGGAAAATAGAGGTTGGTGGATTGATTCGATAGTATCAACATCAGTGCTGGTATTGGGATCAGATTGATACTAACACGGGGAAAATGAGCTATCAAAAATGTCTGAACCTGAATTTATTTTATTTATAGCCTATAGACACATTTACATACCAGATCTAAAAAAAAACCAACCCTGTTTTAATATGCATGAAAGCTGAAAGGTGTAATTTATTGTCTTAACTAAGTATTGTGGAAAGTAAAAATCACAGTGATTTCGAGTTTAGAATTTTCACAAAGAACAGATAACCAAGCTTGGTGGAGAGCCTGCATGATCACGGGTCAGCAGCGTCTCCTGACCCTAACATGGCTCTCAGTTAAATACCTTCTCCAGGAACAAAAGGCAGTACACAGCTGTTGCACACCTTAAGGTTCACACTCCCTTGCTACCTCCCAGAGTCCTCAAAGAGACAAAAGATTCTTCCTGTGGAGTGGTCTGCTTCACCCAACTTCCTTACTAGACCCCCACCATTTGTCTTACTGTATGGGTGTGAGACATGTTAAAAACCAGTGGCACCAAGGCATTATACGATAAAATAATGGGATTAATACATAAATAAAAGAAATTCCCATACAGAGTAGCGGTACCTGCACTGATATCGGCAATTTGCTTGGTATTGGATTTATATCAAAATTTGCAGCACTGCACAGCACTACTGGAAAGAATACTTCACTGGGACACCTTTCA